ATCTTAACAACAACAATGACTGATTGCCAATACTGCTAGCACGTCAGCAAATCACTGTCTTACTAGTTGACCTTGTTCACCTCTATACTTCTCCTTATTCCTCCTTCCACACTGTACTGTTTGGAGGGAGTTGTGTACATTCCACACTTAATGAGGGAGGGGTTACACCCTCTCTCTTTAGGGCAAGGTATCTAGGTAACCTATTCAGAATTCTTCTGCATGGGAATTTGTCTCCTCCATTATTTTTTAATCATATGTAATAGTATGGACTCAAAGATTTAGCATTATAAATCCAATACTGTGTTATTTTGTTGCTGAAATTATTCCAACTTTGGACTTGGGGTGCTCTTTCAGTTGACTCCTGTGTTTCTTTGATACGTCTCCATCAGTGTGGGTTTGAGTTTTGTTTTTGTTTTTTGAGTACATCCTTACCTTCTTGACACTATAAGATGCTCCAAGCTCATCTTGAATATTTCTTCCAGTCTGAGAACCAGCCATTTCTCCCAGTAGCCCTCATTCCTTTGATTGCAGAATGGAATTATGGATGAACATCTGGGCCTTAGGTGTACTGTTGCTAGTGGGATGCTGTTTCCTTTAGCCCTCTCAGATGACAGGAAAAAAAAAATGTGTGTATTAACTTGTGTATATGCACATATTTATAATATACATTTCCAGATATTACCATTTGTGTTTATATTAAGCTAAAATTGATTCTTAAACCTTCAAGCCCTTATTTATCTATAAATTCCCACTGTAACAGTGAGAAACCTGCCTCCTATCAGCCACCATCCATATACTTAATTGTTCAGTTCCAGATGCTCATATAGCAGTGTCAGACTGTCAGTCTAGACCCTCACTGGAAGCAGCCTTCTCAGATGGAGCGCCACCTTAGATGCTGTTCGTTTGCCTTTGTTCCTGTAGCACCTTTCAGTGAGATTGTTTCACACTTGTGTAATCTAGCTAGATTCTCTCACCACAGCCTGTGTGCCTTCATGGTTCTCCAGTCTCCCAAGTAATTTTTTTAGAAATTTGCATACATTTAGATTTATTTTTTGTGTTGCAAAGTTCTGTGGTTTGGATAAATACATAATGTGACTTCTTTACTGCTACAGTATCATATATATAGAATCATTTTACCACTTAAAAGGCCTGTTTGATCTATTCATCCTTCCCTAGTACTCCCAAACTCTGGAAACATTGATCTTTTTACTGGTCTCTGCTTTTTCCTTTTATGGATTCCAGGTGAATTTGTGCATGTTGTAACCTTTCAGACTCACATCTTTCACCTAGCAATATGCATCTGAAGCTTCTTCATTGTGTGTGTGCATGTGTCTGCCTTGAGAGCTTCCTTCTTCTTATTGCTGAATACTGTTCCATTGTATGGATGGACCGAAGTTTGTTTTCCATTCACCTATTGAAGGTTATCTTGGTTGTTTCCAGTTTTGAACAGCTGTGAGTAAAACAGTTATAAACATTCACTTTCAAGGATTTGGGTTTTTGTATGACACAAGTTTTCAAACTAGAATAACATCTAGGAGTGTGGTTGCTGTTTTGTATGGTAAAGGGTAGTTTAGTTTTATAAGAAATTTGAAAAGTGCCATACCACTTTACATGAGGATTCTGTTGCTCTTGGTCTTTATCAGCATTTGGCACTGTTTTTGGATTTCAGCCATTCTAATAGTTGTATAGCACTCATCATTATTATTTTAATTTGGAATTCCCTAATGACAAATGATGCTGAACATCTTTTCATATGCTTAGTTGCCATCTGTACATTTTTTTTCAGTTAAGTGTTGTTCATATCTTTGCTCATTTTAAAAAAGGGTTTTGTTTTTATTGTTGAATTAAAAAAAATTTGTGTATTTTGAGAGTACTAATCCTTTATCAGACAAATCTTCTGTAGTATTTTCTTTCACTCTGTGGCTTTACTTTTTATTCTTTTTATTCAACATGTTTTTTTATAAATTTTTATAAAGTGCAACTTACTAGCTCTTTACTTTGATGGATTGTGCTTTTGGTATTGTATCTAAAAATGTTCTCAAACCCACAGTTGCTGAGATTATATCTTCTAGATATGTCATACAGAAAATTTTACAGATTTGAAATTTACATTTAGGTCTGCAATCCATTTTGAGGAGACGATGATGATGATGATGATGATGATGATGATGATGATGATGATGATTTTGGATACCAGGAATTGAACTTGGGGGTTGGCACTCGACCACTGTATGTCATTTAGAGACAGGATCTCTCTGAATTGCTGAATGTCTTGCTAAATTGCTGAGGTTGGCTTTGAATTTGCCATCTCCTTCCTCAGCCTCTCGAGCCACTGGGATTACAGGCGTGAGACCACCATGCCCAGCTTAAGTTAATTTTTGTGAAAGGTGTAAGTTGTCTAGATTTTTTTTTTTTTGTTTTGCATATGGATGTCCAGTTGTTAAAGCACCATTGTTGTAAAGACTATCCTTTCTCTATTGAATTATGTTTACTCCTTGGTCAAAGATCGCTTCACTGTATTTCTGTAGATGTGTTATGTTCTGTTGATCTATTTATCTCATACTTTGTCAGGACTACCATGCTGTCTTGATTATTATAGCTTTGTGGTTGAGCCCTGATATGGGCTAGCATCAGCCCTTCAGCTTTGTTCTTCAGTATTGGGTTGGCTATTCTGGGTCTTTCGTCTCTCTCTATAAACTTTAGAAATGAGTTTGTCAGTATCCCTTAAACAGCTTGCTCTGATTTTGATAGGGATTGCACTCTGTATAGATCAACTTGAGAAGAACTGACATCTTGACAATGTTGAGTCTTCCAATCGATGAACAAATATTTTTCCTTTTACTTAGGTCTTCTTTGATTCCTTCTGTAAGAGTTTTATGGTTTTCTTCATATAGATTCTGTACATGTTTTGTTAGATTTAAACCTGGATTTTTTTTCATGGTTTAATTAATGATTCGTGTTTTTAATTTCAATCCTAGACATTGCTGATATATAGGAAATTATGTATATATCAGCAATTAGGCTCATATTCTGTTACTTTTTAATGATTGCTAATAACGAATATTCTAGTTTTTCTTTTAGTTCTTTGGGATTTTTTTTACATAGACAGTTATGCCATCTATAAATAGATTTTTTTTCCTCTTCCCATTTTGAATACTTTTATTTTCTTTTCTTGTCTCATGGTACTAGCTAGGATTTCAAGTCTGATGTTGAATAAGAGTTGGGGGAGAGGATTTTCCTGCCTAGTTCATGATCTTAAGTAGGGGAAAGCATCTAGTTTCTTATTAAGTATGATACTAGCTGTAGGGTTTTTTGTGTATATTTGATATCAAGTTGAACAAGTTCCCCATTTGTATGAATTTTTAGTTATGAATAGCTGTTAGATTTTTGTTAAACATATTTCCTGCTTCAGTTGATATGATTATATTATTTTTCTTGTTTTAGCCTCATGGATAGGATGGATTACATTGATTACTTTCCTTCCTCCCTCTCTTTTAATGATTGCTTTTCTTATTCTAACCAGCCTCAAATACCTAGAATAAATTACTCTTGTTCATAACATATAATTCTTTCTGTACATTGTTGGATTGAATTTGCTGATATTTGTTTACAAGAAATATTGAATTATATTCTTTTTTTTTCCCTAGTTTGGGTATTAGCAAACCTGCTCTTTTTATTTTTCTCTATTCCTCCCCCGCCTTTGCCAATGTACATTTTTTGTGGTTTTAAATATATGAAAATGATATACCAGACATTTGTATTTGTTCACTTGTTAATTTCTAATATTTACAAACTCTATTATAAAGACTTTAATGTTGCTTCATAAATTTTATTTTATGATTTTTATGTCAATAGTTATATTTAAAATCGTGTTATTTTATAATGTGAAATGCCTATTAGCTGAATTTACAAAAAAAATATATTTATATATGTATATATATATACACACACACACACACACACACACACACACTCTCTCTGAAATTTCAGCATTTCTTCTTTGTGGTTATAGTTGCATTATGATAATTATGAGGAAACCTTTTTCACCTTTAGCTAACAAGAAGTACCCATAGCTCTTTGTCTGTACACAGGAACTTTTACCTGGAACAAGTAATGGGGTCATGTGGCTTCTCAGTGGTGTGGTTATCAGAGAACCGGCCTGGTTGGCCTAATGGGAGCGCTTCTCCTGTTCTCACCCAGCCCTCTATGTTGTTTGTCTCCCACACATAATTTCCATTCAACCTACATGTGGAACAAAAGAATATAGTTTCATAGTAATTCACTTAACCTGTGTATTTCTCACTGTCAAATATAAAACAAGTAAGTTGAGGAAAACTTAAGTTGATTTCTTAGTGTCTTTTGATTTTTTTTTGAATGCATTTTAATTGACACATTGTAATTATACACATTTATGAGATACCATGTAATGTTTGAAAACAAGGTACATAGTGTATAATGATCTAATTAGGATAATTGGCATATCTGCCATATCACCTTAGACATTACATTTCTTTGTTGAGATGATGTAGAATTATGTAAAATCCTCTCTACTAGCTGTTTTGAAATACTTGTTTAATTATTGTCAGCCATAGTTAACCTGCTGTGCTGTAGCACTTTTTTCTCTCGTGGTACTATGGGTTGAACCAGGTCCTCGGGCATGCTAGGCAGGCGTACACCATTGAGCCATGTCCCCAGCCTTGTGCTATAGAGCTTTTCAAGTTATTCCCCCTGGCCAGCTGCAACCCCATCCTTGGTAACCGTACTCTCCATCTCACCTTTTCTTGATTTTACTTTTCATTCTTTTGTTCCATCAGTTTTCTACAAGTTAAAAGGTTTGCTATTTAACATAGTGTGTAACTGGGGAAGGTGAAGGCAACAAAGACGGACATTTTAGGACTTATTTAACTTAGTAAAATACAAGTCTGCTAGATTAATTATGAGATTTTTTTAAATATAAGGAAAAATGGCAAACTTCATGTTTGTGTATCTGTTTTTCATAGGCAGAGTATCCCCCTAATGGACCAGAGTGTGGTTATGGCTCCTTTCACCAGCAGTACTGGCTTGATGGGAAGATCATTGCTGTGGGGGTGATTGACATCCTTCCATACTGTGTTTCATCTGTGTATTTGTACTATGATCCTGATTATTCATTTCTGTCACTGGGTGTCTACTCTGCTTTAAGGTAAGGTTGCTTTTTGCATTACATAGAACTTCAAGTGATTACTCATCAGATTAGATTTTATTATATAACAGTAGAAATCTTACTTGACAGTATAATAATTTGTTGGTATGGTTAGCCTCTTAGTCTATTTTGGGATTAAAAGTACCACTGTTAGAACTGATGCCATTGTTTGATGGTCACTATCTAGCTTTTTAATGTTCCATGCACTCTGAAGTGTATAAGAAACTAGTGTATTCAGTGATGCTTTTGTTGCATTTACTTAGGCACCTCCAGCAGAACCACTTATCTATCTTAGATAAGTTTATATATATATATATATATATATATATATATATATATATATATATATACTCATTTATATATATTTATATATATTCACTGTTAATTAAAAGTCATTAATGTGTAAATGGATTAAAACAGTATGATTCTGCTTAAAGAAATCTAGTTACAGAGTCACTTGCTTAAGGCCAGGGACATGTTCTGAGAAGTGCCTTGTTAGGAACTCTGTACGAACTTGATAAAGGGTACTTAACACAAACTAAGATGGCTGCAGTGTCACTAGGTGGTCCTTGGGTGACTAAAATGTCATTATGGGGCACCTTGACTGAGTATATGGAACAGGAACCAGGAATTCCTGGCTGACCGAATCTCTCATCCTCATCTGAGGATGATTTCCCTATGGTGTCCATGCTGCAAACATGTAATGCAGCACGAGCATTTCCAGTGGTAAGGAGATTGAGATCTTTATGAGAATATTTGTTCCTATTTTTATTCTTGCTTTCCTGTATGTATATGTGTAAAGAGCAGGAGAGGAAAATAGGGAAATTTTTTTTTTTTTTTTGGTGTGGGAGTACTTGAGTCTCTTTTTCTCCTGTAATTTTCTCTTTTTATTTCCCATTCTTTATGTTGATGGTCATATTTTTACATCATGGTAAAATGTACTGCTAGATTATTTTGTGTATGTGTACTTTTTTCTGAATTATACAAATAGAAGAGTTGATGTTTTTATCTAAATCATCAATTTGATTTAAAACATTTCTCATTGATGCATATTAATTATACAGAATGGTGGGTTTTCATTGTGATATATTTATACATGCACATACCATAATTGGATCAGTTTTACTCCCCAGTACCTCCCCTTTCCTTCCCCCCTTCCCTTTCCCTGACCTTCTTCCTCTGCCCTATTGGTCTGCCTTGTGTTTTCGTGAGATCATTTTTTTTTTCTTTTTCTTTTCTTTACCCTTCTTTTTTTTTCTTCCATGAGAGAAAACAATAGGACTCTTGACTTTCTGAGTCTGACTTACTTTGCTTAACAAAATGCTTTCCAGTTCCATCCTTTTTTTCTGCAAATGATATAATTTTGCTCGTCTTTATGGTTGAATAAAACTGCATTGTGTATATATGCCTGAAACTTCTTGCATTGTCTCACACGTGAGCTTTTAGGAGACACCTTGCATCCAAACTAGTGCCACATTTTTTAGCTCATTCATCTGTTGACAGATTCCTAGACTGGAACTTAGCTATTATGAATTGTGCTTCTATTAAATGTGAGAATGCACATTACCTCTAGAGTATGCTGTTTTGAGTTCTTCTGGATGGATACCAAGGAGTGATACAGCTGAATCATGCGGTAGTTCCATATTTAGTTTTTTGAGAGACCTCCATGCTGACTTCCATACTGGCTATTCTACTGTGTATTTCCACCAACAGTGTATCAGGGGTCCTTTTCCCTGCTCCCTCACCAGCGTTTATTGTTATTTGTATTTTTCATGATTGCCATTCTGACTGGAGTAAGATGAAGCCTCAGTGTAGTTTTGATTTGCATTTTCCTGATGGCTAAACAGTTGAACATTTGTACTTACTTTGAGAAGTGTTTGTTTGGTCAGTAATTCCCTTATTTGAATTTTTTTGTTGTTGTTGTTGAAGCATTTCCCTTAAGTTTTTCTGTAACAGTTTCAAAGTTTCTGGTTTTATTCATAGGTCTTTGATCCATTTTGAGTTGACTTTTGAGCAGGGTGAGAGATAGCAATCTAGGTTTTTTCGATTACATATGGATATCCAGTTTTCCCAACACTGTTTGTTAAAGAGATTGTCTTTTCTCCAATGTATGTTTTTTGGTACATTTGTCAAAAATCAGATGACTATATCTGTAGGTTTGTCTCTGTCTTCAGTTTTGTTTCATGGTTCTGTGTGTCTTTTTTATGCCAGTATCATTCTTTTTTTGTTACTATAACTCTGTAATATAATTTAAAATTGAGTATTGTGATTCTTCCAGGATTGCTCTTTTTGGTTAGAAATATCTTGGCTATTCTGGGTCTTTTATTCTTTCAGATGAGTTTTATGACTTCCCCCTCTCCTTGTTCTGTGAAGACTATCATTGGTATTTTGATGGGGATCACATTTAACCTCTGAATCACTTTTGGTTAACATGGCTGTTTTTTCCAAGGTTCAATAGTGTTTGTTATTTAATCTTACATTTCAGTTATCTTTTTAAAAATTTTTAAAATTTTTGAAACTAGTTATGCATGACAGTAGCATGCATTTATGTACTTTGGTATATCATACATAGAGGGGATATAATTTCTCATTTTTTAAAAACCTTATTCTTTTTTTGGTGGGGTTCTTTTTTTGGTCTTTTTTGGAACTGGAGGTCGAACCCAGGGCTTTGCGAATGCAAGGCAGACGCTTTGCCGCTGAGCTACATCCCAGCCCAATTTCTCATTTTTTTGAGTGTACATGTTGTAGAATCATGGTCATGTGGTCACATATACACATACAGTAATAATGTCTGTTTCATTCTACTATCTTTCCTATCCCCACATCTCCTCTCCTCCCTTCCCATCACTTCCCTCTACTTAATCTGAGGTAATGCTATTCTTTCCTAGTGCCCCCCGCCTGATTGTGAATTAGCATCCACATAGTAGAGAAAACAATTGGCCTTTGGTTTTGTGGGATTGGCTTATTTCACTTAGCATGATATTCTTCAACTCCAATCATTTATTGTCAAATGCCATAATTTCATTCTTCTTTAAAGCTGAGTAATATTCTATTGAGTATGTATACCACATTTTCTTTATCCATTCATCTATTGAGGGACACCTAGATTGGTTCCATAGTCCTGCTATTGTGAATTGAGCTGCTATAAACATTGATATGGCTGCATTTCTATAGTATGCTGATTTTAAGTCCTTTGGGTATAAACCAAGGAGTGGGATAGCTGGGGTCAAATGGTGTTCCATTCCCAATTTTCTGAGGAATCTTCATACTGCCTTCCATAGTGGTTGCACCAGTTTGCAGTCCCACCAGCAATGTATGAGTGTACCTTTTTCTCCACATCCTTGCCAACATTTATTGTTGCCTGTATTCTTGATGATTGCCATTCTGACAGGAGTGAGATGAAATCTTAGAATTGTTTTGATTTGCATTTTTTTTTTTTTAGTTGCTAGAGATGTTGAACACTTTTCATATATTTGTTGATCAATTGTATTTCTTCTTCTGTGAAGTGTCTGTTCAGTTCCTTGGCCCATTTATTGATTGGGTTATTTGTTTTTTTGTTGTTAAGTTTTTTGAGTTCTTATATATCCTAGAGATTAATGATGCTATTAATTCTTCCTACTTTTGAACATAAGAGTTCTTTCCATCTTTTAGTGTCTTCTATTTCTTTATTCAGTGTTCTGTAGATTTCCCCATAGAAGTCTTTCACTTCTTTGTTTAAATTTATTCCTGTGTGTGTGTGTAGAGAGAGAGAGAAAGAGAGAGAGATAGAGATAGATATGAGGCTGGAATGGATTTGTTTTCTTTTTTTCTTTCTCATTGGATTCATTACTTGTGTATAGAAAAACCATTGATTTTTGTATGTTGATTGTGTATCCTACCACTTTGCTGAATGTCCTTATCAGATCTAGAGCCTTTATGGTCTTTTGCAGGTTATCATGTCATCTACAAATAGGGATCATTTAATTTCTTCCTGTTCTTTTATTTCTTCTTTCTTCCTTTTATTTCTTTCTTTTGCTTAATTGCTTTGGCTAAAATTTCAAGTACTATATTGAATAGACATTCTTGTCTTGCTCCTGACTTAAGAGGAAATGCTTTCAGTTTTTCCCCATTCAATATGATATTGGCTTCAGGTTGGTTGTATTTAGCCTATATTATGTTTAGATAAAAGTCCTTAGTTTTTTTAAGGGCTTTTTTCATGAAGAGGTGTTAATTTTTGTCCAAGGCTTTTTCTCCATCTATTGAGATCATCATGTGGTTTCTTACCTCAGTTCTACTTATGGGGTGTTTTACATTTATCAATTTGTGAATATTGAAAAATCCTTGTATCCGTGGGATGAAACCACCTTGATCATGATGTATGATATTTTTGATGTGTTGTTGAATTTGCTTTATAAGTTGATATGGTTTGGATGTGAGGTGTCCCCCAGAAGCTTACCTGTGAGACAATGCAAGAAGGTTCAGAGGAGACACGATTGGGTTGTGAGAGTTTTAACCCAATCAGTGAATTAATGCCATGATGGGGATTAATTGAGTGGTAACTGAAGTGACAGGGTGTGGCTGGAGGAGATGGGCATTGGGGGGCATAGGTTTGAGGTATATATTTTGTATCTGGCAAGTGGAGTCTATGCTTCCTGATCACCATGTGAGCTGCTTCCCTTCACCATACTCTTCCACCATGATGTTCCCAAGGAATGGAGCTGGCTGTCTATGGACTGAGACTGTTCAAATCATATGCCTCCAAATAAACTTTTCCTTCTCTACAATAGTTCTAGTCAAATCTTTTAGTCACAGTGGTGAGAAAGCTGACTAAAACACATTTTGTTAAGGATTTTTGTACTTACGTTCATCAAGGATATTTTCTTTTCTTGATTTGTTTTCATCTGGTTTGGTATAGGTCATTCTGGTTTTGTAGAATAAGGCGCCCTGATGTTAGTTCTTCTTTAAAGAACTTGTACAATTCAATTGTGAATTCATCTGGTCCTAAGTTATTCTTTATTGAA